ACAATATTATTTTCTTTGTATAAATAGTTCTCCTGGTTCTGCTCAACTCCATCCTGCATCAGTTCACACTACCTCGGATTCTTTTCAGGTGTCTCTGGTGCAGTTATATCCCATACAGTATTGATTATTGGGCCTGGAGCCAGGAAGACCTGAGTTCAATCCAGCCTCAGATACTTATTAGCTGTGTGATCATGGGCAAGTCAGCCTCTGTTTCCTTACCTGAAAAATGGAGATCATAATAGCATCTACCTTCCAGAGCTATGAGGAATAAATAAGATAACTTTTATAAAGTGCTTAGGACAGTGCTTGGCAAATAGTATGTGCTAATAGACCACTATTGCTACTATTATTTGTTTAGCCATCCTCCAATTGTCAATCCTCTTCTATTCTATTCTTTTCTTTTCTTCCCCTGCCTCCAACATTTTAATTCTCCCTTCAGAATGGGGAAGTTTGTTTTACTTGTGACCATTCCTTCTCTGGTATTCTCCTCCCTCAACACCATCCTCACTTCTTTCCTTGTTGAGCTTGATGTATTTCTACCACAACCTATGTATTTATATTCAACTTTCCTTTACCTATTTCAGATAAGAGTGAGGTTGATCCGATGCCCACTGTTTCCACCCTTCCTTTATGTTTATATTTTTATCTCATTCACCTCAATTATGAGAAATAGCAAATTATACCCCCACTTCTTCCTTTCTACACTAGTTTATCCTTCCTTTTGCCCTCAGAACAGAGTCTCTCTACCTTTGAAACCCCTATATTATTTAATTCCTTCAATATATTTTGAAGATAGTAAGTTTCTGGAGAGACACTTGTTTCTTCTTTCTCCAGAATGCTGCCACCACATCATCAAAGTGCTCCTTCTAATTGTTTAAATAAATTTACCTTTCTAGGTTTCTCTTGATCCTTGTGTTTGTATTTCAAAGTTCATCTCTGATCTTTTCAACCAGAAATGTTTAAAAGTCTTCTATTCCATTTAAGTCCAATTTTTCCCTCCTGTAGGATTATACTCAATTTTTCAGAGTAAGCTATTCTTGCTTGTAAGTCTCTGTATTTTGTTTTTTTGAACATTGTATTCCAAGGACTCCTTTGATTTTAATTAGAAGCTGTCAGGTCTTGTGTAATCCTCACTGTAGTTGCTTGGTACTTGAACCGATACTTTCCAGATGCTTGAGGTATTTTTTCTTAGATATATAAGCTTGATTATGACATTACTAGGATCTTTCCTTCTAGGGGTCCTTTCATGAGGCAATTGGTGGACTCTTTCTATCTTGACTTTGCCTTCTTGTTCTAATACAAGAGTGTGGAACCTGTGGTCTCAAACAAATTTGTTCTGTGCAATTTGGATTCAGCAGAAGGGCCACCCTTGAGAACCTGGAGGGCCACATGTGGCCTCAAGGCTGCAGGTTCCTCACCCCTGTTCCAATAGATCTAGGCAGAGTCGATTTATAATTTCTTGAAACAGTGTTCAGACTTTTTTTCCCTTAATTTTCAAGGAGTTCAAGCTTTCTTAAATGATCTCTCCTAGACAATTTTCTCCTCTAGGCTCCAGTTTGTTTTTTTTCCACAAGAGCTTTTATTTCCTTTTTTATTCCTTTGCTTCATTTTTTCTAGGTATTTATATAGCCCCTGTGGACAATCTATCTTTTCAGTTGAGTCTCTACTTGCAGTTATTATAGAATTAGATTTGCAATACTCTGAATATTAGTTGGTGTTTTCTTTGATCTACTCATCTCTTCAGCTTTAGTTACTGAACTAGGGCTTTGTGCCAGGGTGAGTCCCCAACCCCTGATACAATTTTGAATGTTGGGTGCCATGGTAGGGGTGCTGTTTGGTCTCACCTTCTATTCCCTGAGTTCTTGTGCTGACCTCTGCCTCCTGGGGTGAGGCTCCTTTTGGATCTTTGGGATTCAAAATGCTAAATATTCAGAGCCCTTTCTGGCATCTCAGTACAAGACACTCGGGACTTCAGATCCCTTGTAGGTAGGCTGTTCTAGTTTAGGTACCACAGCACCATGTTGGCCTGAGGTGGTCAGCACCATGCTAGTCACTACCACTACACAGGGTCTCCAATGTCCTCACCATTAGCCTTCTTCAGGGAAGCCCAAAGAAGTAGCTCTTGCCACCTCTGAACCCAGAGCCTGGAAGGTACATGTGTCCTATCTCTTGTTGGACCTGTGCTGGCTTTGTCCAAAGGGCTCCCTTTCTGCCTGTGGGGAGTTCTGTAGATGATGTCACATTGCAGTTTCCCACTGAATTTCTTGATCATTTTTCTTTGTTGTGAACTTCAGGGTTTTGCTAGAATAGGTTTGTGGGAGCCAGTGGCCTGCCTCCTGTTTAGAAAACCATTTTGGCAAGATGAGGTGGGGAAGAAAGCTCCCTCCCTTATATTTCTATAGAATGTAAATATTTTAATGTACATATTTAGTTAGCATTTGCACATTTTTCTCTGTTTTGCCTAGTTGTATTCTTAGATTCTAGGACATTAATGAAGCAAAGACCTGCTATGCAGAGGTTATATACAGAACCCAACACAACACCTTGCACCAATAAGCATATAGTAATTGCAACATCCAATGAACCAGAAAGCTGAAATGAGATGAATTTTTTCCCACTTCACAATTTGGGACTGTTGACCCTTAAGTGCAGCAGGATCCTGTAATGCTCCTGGAATCAAAGAAATATTAAATTGTGATCAATATTATTTTGGAATCAAGTATATTTTATTATATACCAAGTATTTGAAAACTAGTCATTCATGTTGGGTGCACATGGTAATTCCAGATTAGCTGGAATACTTAATTAACTAGGAAACTCCTAACCTTAGTGATTGTGGATGTGCAAGAATTTTAATTCACTTTAACATAAAACATGAACACATCCCATACAATTTTCATTTTACTACATAAAATCAAACCAACAATGACAGATTGTTATCATTCAAAAGAGACTGAGATTCCCTGTTTCAATTTAGGAAGTGGCTTTATATATATTATATATCTTTGCATACATTGTTCTACCATCTCCCATTCCCTGATTCTTGAATCAATTTATCTCAATGACCTTCAATCAATAGTAAAAACTTAAAATCCTGCCTAATTTTCATCTCCTTTCTTCCACGATGTGTGTGTGTGTGTGTGTGTGTGTGTGTGTGTGTATTATAGTGAGCAGTCTTTAATCAAAGTAAAAATGAATAAGACTATTGGAATCAAGAGTACTTTGCTATTGCTAAGTGATTTCTATTTTCAAAGACTAATTTAGGAGTACGGGAAAATCATGTGAAGCCAATATGTGTTTCTTCAAAATAGTGTTTAATCTGAAGTAACTGCTACTCCCAACTGACTTGATCCTGTATGATTTGTTCTTGAAAGATATCAAACAGTGTGAATCTAGTTAATTCAGCATTCTTTCCCCCGGTCCCTTGTGTTTTAAATTAATTAGATTGCATTGCATCTAGAAAGAATTATATGGTTGACAGCTATTGCATCATTAACTTGGGGTTGGCATTGTTCTTTTGAGAACTTTTTTTTTTTTTTTTTGCTTTTTGGTGAGGCAATTGGAGTTAAGTGACTTGCCCAGGGTCACACAGATAGTAAGTTTCAAGTGTCTGAGGTCAGATTTGAACTCAGGTCCTCCTGACTCCAAGGCCTGAGCTCTACCTACTACGTCACCTGGCTGCCCCTTGAGAACACTTGAGAACACTCTTCTATCATATGGCCTCCTTCCTTCCCATCCCTGGGAGAAGAATGTTTCTACTTCATCTACTAGGGAGTAGCTCATTCCTGTTCAGGTACAAATCAAGGACAGAACCAGCAACTGCAGAAGTGACCCAAGAACGGCAAGACCAGTGAGCACTGGACAAAAGGACTTGGACCTCAGAAACTACTTCTGTTTATCAACTATCTCCTTTTATCTTTTCAGCTCCAGTCTTGCCCTCTCCCTCCCCTTGCCTCAATTCTAAGTTGAAAAAGATAATCTACAACTATGAAAAATGAGCAAAACAAGGATAGAAAGGTATTGTTCTTTGATGTAAGCTCCTAGAGCTAAAGCTGGAAGGGCTATCCTTGACCCCAGAGGCAGTAATCTTTCCACTGTCCCAGATGGCCTCTCTCATGCTTACTAAAAATGTGTGTTCTCATTTTGGTCTCTCCTGTGCTGTGTGTAACACAACTTTAACATTAAGTTTTTATACAAAGTCTAAGTACTGATATTTAAATAGGAAAGCTCAATGAGGACAGAAATTATATCTTGTTCAAGTAAACCTTTTTATTGTTGTTCAGTCGTTTCTGTGGTGTCTAGTTCTTTGTGAATGACCCCATCTGGCATTTTCTTGGCGAAGATATTAGAGTGGTTTGCCATTTCCTTCTCCAGCTCGTTTTATGGGGTTAAGTGACTTGCCCAGGATCATCCCACAGCTAGTAAGTGTCTGAGGCCAGATTTAAACTCATGAAGATGAGCCCTCCTGATTCCAAGTCCGGTGCTCTAAAATCTTTACACAGACATAAAACTATGCATGTGGGAGCACATCCATTTAAGGAGGGTGCCCAGGCCAGTTGTCTTTTCATCCTTCAAGATCACTTCAGCCCTGGAGCTCCCATTTCGTCAGTATCCACTCCACATCTAGGGCCCCTCTGATTGGGGGAGATTAGTGGAGAGGTCCTCCCAGAACCTCTGTTTAAGGAGGGTGCTGAGCCCAGCATCTATCTCTTCATCTCCCACCTGGCTACACTCTTCTGGACATCCCCATCATCATGCCCCTGAGTGGGATCCCTTAGCTTACTGCCACGTTTCAACCTCCTTTAGGGTATTATCTTCCCCCATTAGATTGTGAGCTCCTCGAGGGGCAGGGACTGTTTCTTTTTCCTATCTGTATTCCCAGCACTAAGCACAGTGCCTGGCACATAGTAGGTGCTTAATAAATATTTATCGACTGACTGAATCATAAATGTTATTTTTTTCCCCTTTGTGATTATTCCTGTGTTTCCTTTTGTCCACAGTTGACAGACCTGTTAGAGTGTATGCAGATGGAATATTCGACCTCTTCCACTCTGGCCATGCCAGAGCACTTATGCAAGCTAAAACATTGTTTCCCAACAGCTACTTGCTGGTAGGAGGTAAGACCTGAACTTTCCCTTCATTCCCTTAGCTAGTTCCTAAGTGGATCGCCTGCCTGCCATCAAAATAAAATAAAATAAAATGTTTTCCTTTCAGACTGCATGGTGATTGCAACAATTTCTAACTTGCCTGTGTTGTTCTTCTGTCCAATTTATGAAAAGAAAATCATTTTTTAAAATAATCATCAGGTAATGGAAGCTAGGTGATGCAGTAGATAGAGGACTGGCCCTGGAGTCAGGAGGAACTGAGTTCAAATTCAGCCACAGACTTACTAGCTGTGTGACCCTGGACATTTAACCTCAATTGCTTCCCCAAAAGTATCATCCAGTAACAGAGACAGCATGGAGATAGACACTACCTATTCTCAGTGTCCTAAAATGATAATAGCATCAAGGATAATTGTGCTTTCCACAATGAAATTCAATCATTTAGCAGACATAATCTTATATTTCTGAGAGGATTTAGGGCAAAGTAATTTTATTCCTATGTTTTACATAAGAAATATCAAGAAGAATCAGAATGACTTTGGGCAAGCATGGTCTCTGTCTTTTACACGCATTTAATATACTGCTATGTGTAGAGTGGGAATTTAATAAAAGTTTGAATTCAACTGAATATTTATGCAAAGCATGTCAGAGAAAGAGATTTAGGTATTGTATGTGGGGCCGGTATGAACAAACATATGTGGGAGGGTGAAAAAGAGCCTCTACTACTAAATCCCAATGTACTTTCCTCAAAGGACATCTGCTCTTAATTTTAAACTAATGCTCTTAATAAGAACTTTTCTCTGCTCTTAATTCAACAAACTAGTATTAAACACCTACTATGTGCTAGGCACAGAGGTTACAAAGACAAAAATGAAATAGTCCCTGCCCCCGGAAGCTTACACTCTACTTGATAAGAATAATATGTACACAAATAAGTAAATACAGATTATACACAAGGTAATTTGGCAGAAGGGGAAGGGGATGGGACAACCGCTCAGGGAATTAGGAAAGGTTCTGGAATTGAGCCTTGACTAGAGCTACAGATTACAGAAGCTAGAGGTGAGGAGGGGGAGCAGTCCAAGCCTGGGGGCCAGCTCAGGAAAAGCTATAGGGGCTGGTGGAGGAACACTGCATGGTAGGGACAGCAAACAAATATAGGAGTCCAGTGAAACATCTAGCAGAACAGCGGAGGAAGCAGGTGGAGCTGGGGAGCTAGGCAGGCTATACTGTCAACCACTGAAGGATACAGCCAGCCTATTCAGCGTGCTCATACATCTTGGTCCCTCTCCTTTTGTGTTGTTCGGTTGTGCCTGACTCTTTGTAAACCCATTTTGGGGTTCTCTTGGTACAGATACCAGAGTGGTTTGCCATTTCCTTCTTCAGCTTTTTTTTGCAGATGAGGAAACAGAGGCAAACAGGGTGAAGTGACTTGCCCAGGGTCACACAGCTAAGAAGTGTCTGAGGTCAGATTTGAGCTAAGGAAGATGAATCTTCCTGTCTCCAGGCCCAGCACTCTATGCACTAAGGTGCCACCTAGCTGCCGCTTTAGAGGGGTGGCTTTCCCTTTTCAAGCAGCTTACCTCCTCCTCCCTTCATGGCATGTCTTGGCTTTTAAAAGCCTGGCGAGGAGCATAGCTAAAGCCAAAGAAGGCCGTTTCTTCTCTTGCAGCCCTTGTTCTTAAAGACATAGTATCTCTAGAGGTATCTGAATCCCAGATTCATTGCCAGCCTGTACAATTCAATGTCATTTATCCATGTGGTTGAACTTTTCAAAAGTAGCTCTTGATCTCCAGGTTCATTCCAAACCAGATCTTTTATTTCTCTACAATAAAGACTACTCTCTCTTCCTTGTATTTGTGAGGCTTTTCTAGACTATATCCACGTATGAGCCCTTTTGTTGATAGACAGCTTTTTCACATTTATCTACTTAAAAAACCCAAGTAAACGTTTAAAACAAAGGTAAACGCCTCCCAATCTGGGAGGGAAGGTGAGGTTGGGGATGTAAAATAATTAAGTGACCCACCTTACAACTGACCCCTATTTGGGGAGGGAGACAGGGGAATGTACTGGAAAAATCAACAATCTTTTTTTTTTTTCTCCAGCCCTCTGTATTAGCAGCATAGGATTTGTGCTGGACTTTGTTTATACTTGCAGAATTCTCATTGTCCTGTCTCAGGACTCCACAGCCATCCATAACCTGCCATCTGCTCTTCTTCCTTCTCTTTCCTCTTTGCTTCCTCATTCCTTGTCTACTTGGCTTCTTCTACATCTACCTCTCCTGACCACAAGTCCCCTTCCCCAAGGTCTCTGCTTAGTTTGCACTCAGCTCAAATCTGAAATCTCCTTGGAGCTCAGAGAACACTGGAAAGGGGACTGGTGCCCACAGCCAGCCCTACTCCCAGCTCTTCTTAATTTTTTAAATTTTTTTAAATTTTTAGGCAATTGGTGTTGAGTGACTTGCCCAGGGTCACACAGCTAGTAAGTGTTAAATGTTTGGTCTGAGGCCAGATTTGAACTCAGGTCTTCCTGACTTCAGGTCCAGTGCTCGATCCACTGTGCCACCTAGCTGCCCCCCCAAGTTCTTCTTGCGCCTCATCCAAGTCTTTCAATGAAACTTCAAAAGGTGGGTCATAATCAGTTGGAGCAAATTGTAAAGGACTTTAAATGCCAACCAAAGGCATCCTAGTGGTGAGGGGAAGCCACTAAAACTTTTGAATGGAGGATCAGGAGAATCACACAGTCAGTCTGCTGTCCTGAGGAATAGTGAAATCCCATCAGCACTTTTCTCTGGATCCAAGTATTCACTGAAGATAAGTTGAGAATTTAAAAGATTTGCTAATCAATTAGGTTAGAAAAACATAATACTTTAAAGAAACAATAAAAACCGTTACGTCACTAAGGCATAGCAATATTCTCCAGCTTAACTCTGCCTGACCCCTGATCCTGTCCCTGGAGTCTTATTGTTACCCTGTATTGAGGAGCTGGCAGAAAAGCCTCCCCTTTTTAACCTTGCCTTGGTCCATTTCTGAATGGTAGGACTGAATGAGTTCAGCTAGTCCTGCCTGCGTAAATACTGCAGCCAATTCCTCTAGGGAGTGATAGAACAGTGAAAAACATATTTGAATAATAACCAACATAGTAGATAGATAAAAGGCCTTCCTACTCTTTGGGTAAGCACCAAGAAGTGCAAGAGAAAAAGACAAAAAAAAAACCTCTTCCTTCTTTCAAGTGGGTCCAGAAAATGTCAGAGTAAACTTGGGTCATTATAAATCCTTGGTTATTTTCATGACCTCTTTCCTGAAATCAGTAGGGAGTCTAGAAGTAGAGAAAACTTTATTTATTATGAGCTCTAGTTTTGCAGAGAAAAGTGACTTTTCTGTGTTTAAAAATATATTATGATGTAGAAGAGGAAATGGTCGTTATTTAATACATACTCCTTGAGAGTTGCAGTCACCTTTGCCCCATTCACACAGAAGGTAGGGAAACCAAAAAGAAAAGAAAAGAGTCTTGAGAATTGTTATGAAGAAGAAACATTAGGAAAGAAAGAATTGTGTTCAGTTTTCTTTTTAATGGGCAACAATAGGTGGTCCTGAAGTCCTGTAAGAGGAGCAGCTGAGTGGCACAGTAGTGGAGTGCCAGGCCTGGCGTCAGGAAGATTCATCTTCCTGAGTTCAAAGCTGGCCTCAGCTGGCTTAGATGCTAGGAGGCATCTATATACCAAATTATACTGTGGAGCCAAAGAATATTTAAATGGCCCATGGCAGATTGTTATGCTGTCCCCAACCTCAGCACAGAGGCTCTGGAGGCTCGGTGTGAAAAGAATGAGTGACCATAAGGAACAGAATACAGGGAAAAGGAGGAGACAATTCATAAAATTTATAGGTTCTAAGAAATAGAGTTCTGAGGGTTTGTAGAAATTTGTGGGAACAATGCAAAGTACGAACTTTCAGTGGGACATGTACCTGCCAACTACATGTCATCCATCACAAGGGGAGTAGACCCATAAAACATCACTGGACTGACACTGCACACGAAGCCTCCCACCCTCTACAGTCCCCCAGGCCAGCACTCCCTCCACTGATGATCCCCCAAAGTACTGCTGTCCCCTGTGATCTGAATTCCACATATGACTAAATTTCCTTTATATCAGTCCTCTTCCTACTCTTTGGCACCCCTAAATAATTCAGGGGAAGTTCCCAAACCATCAGCTTTCACTCTTCTCAGCTGATTCCAAAATAAGTGGCAATGTCCGATTTCAGATGGTTGCTCCTATAAACTAACAATAGCTTGGTAGAACCTTCTAGAGCTTGTGGTCTGCTAGCATAGTCTTTAGAGCCCAGATCCACCTCCATGCTAAAGTAGGTTATGAGGAGAAGATTTCAGTGTACACACACACACACACACACACACACACGCACGCACGCACGCACACACACACACATGTTTATGTGTGTATATATGTACAGACACACACATATACCAGTGTGAGTGGTTTGGGTAGCCTTCCATAGTATCTGTGTTACAAATATATGCATATACTGAGAGAGAGAGAGAGGGAGAGAGAGAGAAAGAGACGGGGGGGAGGGAGAGGGAGAGCGAGGGAGGGAGAGGGAGGGAGAGAGACAGAGGGAGAGAGAGAGACAGAGAGAGAGACACAGAGGAACAGAAAAATATCATGATATAGTATACATTGTGTTGAGCTTAAAGTTAGAAAGACCTGAATTCAAATCTTGCCTCTAACTCTTACTAGCTGAGTGATTCACCACCTGTCTTAGACAATTCTCTATGATTTATCTGTTCAGTCATAGAAAGGTTGCATCTTCATTGGTGGATGACGTTACCACACCAGGAGTTCCTTATACTGACAGAATCACTGATCTTTAACAAATGTCTATGCAATCTGTGGCCTAGATCCCTGAGCTCTGGACTTACACAGATTGGGTCTTATCTTGGGGGCAGACCTCTAAGATCTAAAAGTAAGACACGGCTTCAGATTCTACCCCCAATGCTTA